ATTTACCGACCGAGTAAAAAAAAAGAAAAAAAGAAAAAAAGAAAACGAAAAGAGTTGATTTCAGACGCTGTCCAAGTACGTGTCGATGTGTGTGTATGTGCGTTTTTGAGTGAGTATGTATGTCTATGTGTGTGTCGGGAAAAAAAAAAAAAAAGAAAACGTCCAAAAAAAAAAAAAAAAAAGACAGGTCATTATTATAAACAAATTGGATTCATTTACCGACGGAGTAAAAAAAAAAAAAAAAACCGAAAAGAATTGATTTCAGACGCTGTGCAAGTATGTGAGTGTGTGTGCTTATGTGCGTGTGTGTGTGAGTGTGTTTCTGTATGTGTACGTGTGATCGGTGGGGGTATGCGTGTGTGTGTGTGTGTGTGTATGTGTGAGTGCGTATATAATTGGTCGTCGCCCCGATCCCGATCCCCCTCCGAGTTTTGTCTCCCCCGTCCCCTATCCCGACATCCCCGCCTCCATCCCCCCATCTCGAATTCGTGGCCGACCTCGACCTCTGGATCACACCCATCCTCCATCCCAATCTGGATGCCAGTTTCCGTATCCGGATCTCCTCGGCCGACCCCCTCCATCCCGATCTGGATGCCGGTTTCCCCACGTCCTGACCTTGTCGCCCCCATCCCCCATCTTGACCTCGATGCCGACCCCCCCCCCTTTCTCCTTCATCCCGATGTCGTCGCTTCTCGCATCCCTTTTCCCTATCCGGATCTCCTCGCCCCCATCCCGATTTCCCTCTACGTTCGCCCCCATCGCCCCATCCCGAATTCGTGGCCTACCCGACCTCCAAACCGCCCCCATTCTCCATCCCGACATGGATGTCAATTTCCCCACATCCGGAGCTCGTCGCCCCGATCCTCGATGGCCGACGCCGACCTCCGGATCTCCCCCTCCTCATCATGATGTCATCCGGACATGTTCCTTGTCATCCCGTTATCGTCGCTTTGCCCCCATCCCAATCCCCCTCGCAGTTCCCCCTCCCCTATCTCCTATCCCGACTTCCTCGCCCCAAGACGTGGGTGTAAGAAGAGGGAGAGAGAGAAGGATGGTGATGATGATGATGTGAGGGCACATACCTGGTATTGGCGATGGTCTTCATTGGGCGACATCTTCAAGTACTTTGTGGGCTGCTGACGTCAACAATTGCATTGTCAATTAGTAGACAGATTGTAGCTGTGTAGGAAGTAGGCTGGGCGTTGAGCGCCAAGTAGGGAGAAGGTCCTGGACTCTTGTGTTGGTGGTGGCGAGAGCAAGCTCTCATTGACGTTGGTTTTCAGTGTTACGATTCTCCATTGGTGTCATATTGGTGCAATGCTGCTTTTTGGACACTGTGATACTTTCTGGCTTTCATTGTGATTGTGTATTCTGGATATTGTCATCTCGCTACTGCTCATTTTCCTTGCAGTATGAAAATAAATAGAATAGTAAATAATTAACGAACAATTCAAGAAGAAATATTTTTTTTGATTTGTAAATCAATTCTCTATCTTTTGTAAATTTGAAGATAATAACAACCAATATATAATAAACATATATATTGTGAGCCTCGTGCTCCTAGAGGGTCTTGCTAAACACTATAATATCATCTAGATACACAATCACAAATCTATCCACGGCCTAAACAAATCATTCATGCACCGCAAAAATGTGGTCGGTGCGTTGGTTAGTCCAAAGGGCATCACTATAAACTCGTAGTGCTCGTATCTAGTCTTGAACACCGTCTCGTACTGATCATCAGGATGTACCTCTATCTGATGATAGTCTGACTTCAAGTCTATTTTAGAGAAATACTTGCAACCCTGCACCCTATCCAACATATCATCTATCTGAGGCAGTGGTTCTGCATTCTTCACCGTGACGGCATTAAGACCCCTATAGTCAATGCACATGCGTAACTCTCCCTCTTTCTTGGGGACGAACAGGACGGGCGCTCCAAATGGAGATGAACTGGGCCTAATCCAACCCTTCTCAAGGAGTTTGTCTAATTGTTTGCGCAACTCCTCTAACTCTCTTGTGGACATTCTATACACAACCCCCTTAGGATTCCTACTGTCAGACCCTATCTCAATGCGATGTTGTATTGGCCGTGACACTACTCCTGTAGGCGGCTCAGACAAATCTGCATATTCCTCTAACAACTTAGCAATGTGAGGATCGATCGACTCTTCCTCCTTAGGCTCAGTAGCTAGCCTAACATAGGTTACAAAGACTTGTTATTCTAGCTGCTCCTTCTTCACCAATCTTGCGAATGCAGGAGCGCTGAGGTAGCAATGCGCTAAGGGGTTGTCTATCCCTGACACATGAAACAGGAGAGCAGTCTTGACTTCACCTGACGGACTAGGGAGCCTACACTCGTGCTCTCTTAAATGGAGTGTGGATCCTGCTGCCTGTCCCCAGTCCATTCATAGGACCATATCAAACGGGAGATTGTCCTCTATGAGGAGAGTCAGGGAATGGAGAACTCTCTCTACCTTCCCATATGTCTCTAGGCGGAAATATGCCTGGACTCCCTCGACGTAATCCTCAATTCGCATGGTGCGATCGTCTGCCAGAATACTGGCTATAGGTTCTTCTAACTTTTGGACTTCCAAATTTAACTTCAGCTTCTGCAGCGCTTTACGACTAATGTAACTGCGGGTGGCCCCACTGTCTATAAGGGTCCCTACCCTGCCTCTAAAAACCTCTACATCCACTAACACAAGCTGTCCCTTTCCATCTTTCTTCATCTTGGCCCAGGCTGGCATCCTCGCTTTTAAGTTTTAACTCTTCTGCCAGACTTGTGAGGGAAGTGCCTAGAGATACTCTAACGCAAGCAGTTTCTTGACAGCTACCTAGGCACTGGCCAGCAACCTCTGCCATAGACACATGTGGTTTGGGAGTTCCTTTATGGTGCGCGCACTCTTCTCCACATGGTATAGGGGTAAGGGCAGTTGCGACCCCTACCGACGGTTGCCTTTTGCTGCCTCTGCAGCAGCTCGCCGGGCATCTCTATACTTGGGGCAGTATTTGATAATATGCCCCGGATCACTGCAGTAAATGCACTGATCCGCATTTATCCTTCTCTGTCATATTGTCTGCTCTATGCCCAACGCTTTCCAAGGTCTGCCTTGTGGCAGGCCAGGGTGCCATTCACCCCTCCTGGGAGGGGATCGGTTGAAACGCGGACGGTTTTGTTGGGGACCTTGACCCTTGCCTCCCTCCTGGCGGTTTCCTCTACCGCCAACCCCCTGATCGCCCTGTCCTCGACCACTAGAGGCCCGGGCCCCTTGGCAACAGCCTCCTCTTCCTTGCGGCCTCCCTCCAGCCGCGATAACAACATAAGTCCTCCCCTGACTATGGCTACTGTCCTCCTCTTCTAGGCCCCACTCTATCTGACTGTAGGGGACCTCTTCCATACCACCCTCATCTAAAGTAAGGATCAAATGATCCTTGGCCTTGACTTGGGCAGAGATGGTACGACCCTTCCATTTCTGCCCCTTGTCAAGATCTTTGTGCCAGAAAGTGGATACTGGCATGGACTAGGCTTCAAAATCCATCACTTCCCTACTCAGGGTATCGTAGGTCATAGCAGGCTCTTTGCTCTTCTCAAAGAAGTGTCCGTGCAGAGCATCGGGCATGGCACAAAAAAATAATTGGACTAATTGGGTCTCAGTGACCCAATGCCCAGGGATAGTAACCAATTCGTCCATAACACCCTTGAGTGCCCTGGCATTCTTCCACTAACGTGAGTGGATGGTTTGCAACTTATCAGAGGGTTTGATCCCCCAGGTGACATCTGCAAACCGCTCGCGGAGTAACCTGAAAAATTCAGTAAGGGGACTGATCTTGGATTAAGATACCATATTATTGTCACATTGAGCAGTGCGGGCAAGCAATATGGTGAAGATAGACGCCTCCTCTTTAAGGGCGCGAAAGGCGATGAGGACTTGTTCCTCGCGTAGGATCTTTTAGAGGTGAACGTAAGAATTAACATTCGCCTCCCAGTTATCAAAGTTCTCTTTCTTTTTCCCACTATAGGAATCAGGAAATTTTACCTTGACTGGTTCGCTACGAGGGCGGGCTTCCTCCTCTTTTGGAGCTATTAACTTGACTCCCTTGATCGCGCCTTTGTAAAACCTCTCTATATTCGTTAGTTGGGCTTACATCTCAGTGCCCATGCACATCATTATATCTTGCGCAAAATCTCTAAAGCCTACGCGCATGGACTGCAAGGCTATATCATGGTCCCTCAGGTAATTCATTTGTTCCTGTTGAGCCCGGATCATCACTTCCATGCTCTTACCTGTGATCTCCACTTTGTTTTGGAGATCCGCTTGCTCGGCCAAACGTGCATGCTGCTCCCTCGCGGCGGCCAACTCTTTCTCCAACTTTGTTGCCACCTCTATTAGCCTCCTTCTCTGCCTTCTAAGGCGCA